ATAATTTGTTCGCGCCCAAAGTGACATTTTTCCAATTTGAGCCCAACATTGTTCAGAAGCGAGCGCCGTCCCCTGGGGCACCTTCAGTGTGGATCTGAGGCGCATGACAAACCAACAATATCATCTAAATAAAAAATCCAGCCTAGGTTTAGTAAATTAATCCTGACAAGAATAAATTGGATAATCTAAGAGAAGCGGCAGGGCTCCCATCCTGCCAGGTGGCGTTTCCCCTCTTCCCTCCATCACTCAGGTGGGCTCTCCATAGCATATTAAAAATGAAAACCTGCCTTGGGGTCATTGATTTCATCAGTTTATTGATTAGCACCTTGCCACTTCTTCGGAGGTCAGCAGAATCTGACCTTTCATTTCTAACCTGATACTTTTCCACTATGGAGAAGGGAAGAAGTCCATGTTTTAGCTGGTCTGAGTGAGGCCAAGCAGACAGAGCCCCAGGGCTTCTCACTGGGCCACTAGGTAGCTTTCAAATTGTAATTTGTAACAGCAGTGATTAAAACAGCAACAGCCACAGGCCACTTCAGTCTCACACATGTTTGGCAGGCGTTCCTCTGCGGAGCTACATCTTTCTTTCCCTTTGATTTGGTTTACTTTTTTTAAAGTGTCTCACTTTCAAAAAGTTGCCCAAGCTGACACTGAAGTGACTCCATAGCCCAGGCAAGCCCTGACTGAGCCTGTCCTCTACCCTTGGCTTCTCCGGTAGCTGGGATGTCAGGCTCGGCTCCCCACGCATGGAAGGTGCTTCCTGCTTACATCTTTCCTTTCTCCAAGCTCAGCTCAGCTCACCTCAAGCTTTTGTTCACTGACAGGTAGGCTTGGCATGAGCATATGCTGGCCCAGTATCAGAGACTGTAGCTATTCAGTCAGGAGTATGTGTGAGAGAGGGAAGGAAGCACCTGGTGCCAATGTGTCCCACATCCTGGAACTACCCCGCATACTGTCCTTTTCTGGACTTTGCCTACAGAAAGGGACCGCATAGTTTCTGGAGGCTCCTCTCTTTTGAATTTAATGTTTTTTGTTTGTTTCTCACTAGCTCAGATTAACCTCAAACTATCTGTTTGGCAGAGGATGGCCTAGAACTCCTGATCCTCCTGTCTCCACCTCCGGAGTATAGGGATGACAGACATTCATTACTAGGCACAGTGTGGGTGGTGCTGGGGATTAAAACCATAGCTCCCTGCATGCTAGGCAAGTACTTTATCAACTCATCCCAGGCCAAGGAGGCTCTTCAAGGTGTTGAATAAGACCCTAACCTCAGGAATTGGATTTGTCTTGAATTCTTCTTCCAAAGGCCCCTTCTCTGTAAAACCACACCAAAACTTCTTAGATCACCAACAGGGAGACCTGTGTGTGTGTGTCAGGGTTGGGGCTGGGGGAGGGGAGGCAGTGGTGTGTTGGGGGGGGCGGGAGAGAGGAGCACTTGTTCAGACCACAAATGGCTGTTGTGGAATCTGACTCAGGACACTGGAAAAGACCTAAGACATGTGTGTTCTTGTTCACAGAATCTTTATGATGCTGTGTGACAGAGAGGCAGGCCCATGCTAGAACCCCCAGCTCCTGTTCACAGTAACTCTATGCTACAGAGCAGATATTCAGACCTAGGATTCTGAATGGGAAAGACGTGTACCAAAATCCATACAGATGCTCTGTGGTGGAGGGAGGTCTGATGCTGAGGCTGAAGGAGCCTAAACAAGACCCCAAATCCAGGCACTGCAAGATGCCCTGTGGGCCTTCTATAACAGTCATGAGCCCTCAGCCCAGGGTTCTGTACTCAAATGTGTATCCCCTTACTTACTTATTTAAATGTGTTTATCAGGTGAAAGTGTGGATATTTGGAAGTCTCTACTTAGTAAACCTAATTCACACCTGGGTGCCTCACATAGAATCTTGTAGTGGGCATCATGGCTCCACTCCTGTGCCATCTGGTAGGAATGCAACTCATTATAAACTGTGGTCACCACATTGTACAAGAGTCTCCTGAGCTCACTCTTCCTGTCTCATCAAAACTGTGCATTAGATTGACAGATCCCTGGCTGCTAGTACTCTGTTATCCTTTGGATAGCCACCTTTACCCAACTCCTTATGTTTGAGATCTTGGTTTCCTATGGTGGGTTTTTTTTTTCTGTCCCTGAAGTATTTCACTTCCCACCACATTGATTCACACTCCCTCAAACCACACACTTGCTTTCTTTTTAATGGCTGCAAAATATTCAACTGTATGCACACATCACATTTTCTTCACCTATCCCTGTTTCACACTTAGATTGTTTCCATATTTTAGCACCTGAGTATTGTTTCAATAAATATGGAAGTCCAGATGTCTCTTGAACCTACTGATTCTGTTTCATTTCACGAACACTGAAATAGGATTCTCAGATCATAGTTATGTATTTTCCCTTTCCTCCTTTCTTTTTTGTTTTTAATGTCTCTCAGCTGAACCCAGAACTTGCCAGTGCTCCAGTCTAACTAGTCAGCTTGATCCAGGGGTTCCCGATCTACAACTTCTGAGCCTCGGAATTATGGGGAACTATCCAGATTTTTCATGGTTCTGGGGATCTGAATATTCAGATAACCAAGCTTGTGTGGGCCATATCCTCAGCCCCCTCCCTGCCCCTCTCTCTCTTCTTTCTTTTGGAACCTCTGTAAACTTCCTAAGATGACCACAAGAATGCATTTAAACAAACAAACAAACAAACAAAACAAAACAAAACCCATTGCTGTTGCTGCTGGACTTCCAGGGAGCTCACTTTGAGAACTATGCTGTGTGTTTGCTGCTCCCTAAGTGTTTTTCTTTTTGCATACACTGCATTGCCCTCTTCTCTCTTCCCCTACCCTTTATTTTCTTGCTTCATCCTTCTTGCTAGAGTGCACCCACACCACCATCTGGGGTCTTTACATGTGCTACCTCATTGGCTGGCCTTCATTCCAGGGGCCCATCATCCAGTCTGGACTGTCCTTAAGACTTAACACAGGGCCACTTCTTTTGATTGAAATCCTGCTGTAAGATGAATTGCTAAATGGTTTTATTAATAATAAAAAAAAACTGGAGCCAGATATTGGGGTGAAAACTGAGAGATCAGAGGAATAGAACAAGCTAAGCCACAAGTTCTTACCGCTAGGGAATCCTCAGCCCAAGAGAGCTACTTCCTGTATACTCACGCCTTATATACCTTTCTGTGCCCTGCATCTTACTTCCTCTAGCTGCCCAGCTACATCACTTCCTCTTCCTGCTTAGCTCTATCACTTCCTGTCTGTCTGTACAGACCTCCAGATCTCTATGGTTAACTAATGCTTGGATTAAAGGTGTGTGCCACCACACTTGGCTCTGTTCCCAGTGTGACCTTGAACTCACAGAGATCAGATGAATCTCTGCCTCCTGAATGCTAGGATTAAAGGCATGTGCTACCACTGCCTGACTTCTATGTTTAATATAGTGGCTGGCTTTTCCCTCTGATCCCCAGGCAAGCTTTAATTGTTAGAACACAAATAAAATATTACCACACCCTGCACTCAGCATTTCACACCTTCTCTCTGAATTGTTTTATATGGTAAAACATATGCACATATCTTCTCCCAGATACATTTACCAATCTGTCTTTTGCATTTTCTTTCTTTGTCCCCAGAATAAGAGCATTGTCAAGGCAGGTTCTTCCTTGTATTTTATACATTATTAGGCCCTTTGTACCTAGAACCTGGCCTGATATTAGTGGGTACTGGATATCCCTCTTTGGGTTTTTTATGTTTGTTCACCTACTGCATGGATATGTGTGTATGTATGTGGAGAGTGCATGCCATAGCATACCTGTAAAGGTCAGAGGACAGCTTATTGGAGTTGGATCTCTCCTTCTAGCAGGTATATCTTAGTGATTCAGTGTTTATCAGGCTTGGCCATAGGTGTCTTTACCTAATGAGCCATCTTTTAGACCCCAAATCTTTTTCATAAATAAATTAATTCCATAGTTTCTTGTGTGAATGTGTCTTCACTTCTATCTAATAAGTTCCTTGAAGTTGGGAACCACAAATTTCACCTTTGTATGAGGGGAAAAATAAAAAAAATTGTATTAGATGTAGGTATACAATAACTATAGATAGTGAACTAGGTGACAAGTAGGTGAGGGATGGATAGAGACATGAATGAATGAGTGAATGGATAGACAGATGGATGGATGGGCAAGCATCCAGACAGATAAATGGGCAGGTAGATTAGCAGATGGATAGATAGACAAATGGATGGATTGATAGATGAATAAATAGATGGATGAATGGATGGATGGATGCATGAGATCAATGGGCAGGCAGACAGACTGACAGATAAGTGGGAAGATGGGTGAATGGATAAATGTATGGATGGGAAAAGAGATCGACTGATGGTTAGATGGATGGGTATATAGAGTGATAGATGAGTGGGCAGATGGACTGAGGGATGAATGGATATAGACAGACTGATGGACTGACTGATGGCTGGATGAGTAGGTGGATGGGTGGTTGATTGATTGGGTGGGTAGATGGACTGATGGTTGGGAGGATGAGCATATAGGTGGGTGGACAGATAGATGAGTAGGAAGATGGCTGAATGAACAAAAAAAAATAACTACATGGTAGTGGCTTGTGTTGATGCCAGATATATTTGCATATGACAAATGTAGAAGAGTACATTAAATCTGCTAAAAAGAATGTCCCTTCTCATATGAATAAAGGTACTAGGGAGAAATATTTTAATGGCCCTCAGTTTCTCTTTGCTAGTCTCTGACCTGTAGCATTCAGGTTCACCCCTCATCTGCATGTAATAAAACTTCCTTACAAGACCCATATGCCTCTAATGCAAACACGACTGTGTACACCTCCAAAAACCGCCATAAAGTGCAATGGCTCGAGAAAGAACTGCCAGGAGTGTGGTCTTTTATTAATGCAAAGGGCACCTCAACAGAATGTCCTCCAAGTACAAAGCTGACTCCTGCTCTTTCTCCCTTTTTCTCCTTCTCCAGGATATCAAAGCCAACTGCAGCAACTGCTCGGAAACAGAGGACAGAAAGGTAAGTCTATCTGTTTTGTATTTCTGGTTTCAGCCACAGTAGGAATGTTGTAATTGCAGTCCAGGAGTTTCTGGTGCACCTCACCAGACATTGTTCTGGAGGTGACTTGTGCACTGACGCTCGGGGACATTCACAGCTTAAAATGTCCATCCTTTTATTCCCCCACGGTCTGTGTTGTTTCTGACGGCTGCAGTGAGGTGTGTGTAATGTAATTAGTTTTTACAAAAGTGTGGTTTTGTGGTTTTATTTTACCATCCTTTTCAGAAAGAAATCACTTATTGATGCTTCATGTCACAATTTTAATTAACATGCTTGATATTTGATGCAAGTATCATACACAGCATTGTATAAAACTACATGCATTATGGAATAGATGATGTCTGGCTTCCCAGCATATATCTCTTGGTATCTGATCTATGTGTATTTACTTGAAAGACAGCTTACCTTAATTTCCTCCAGAACCCATCCACATGAGCAATGACTTCCTGTTGGAGATTGGAGACCATTGGAAGGTTACTTTGGACATGAATGAATTTTCCACCCATTTATTTTGTTTGTTAGCCTTGTTGTGGGTCTCCTCAGGAGAAGCAATGGTCAAGTCTTTGTTATTTGATATTCTGAGTCTCTCTTTGTTAGAAAAAGTTCACAGAAGTTTCTGTGACAAAGCACAACTGAACACATCCAGTTTCACCACTAATGTGGTGAATCCAAAGAGGTTACACATGTGAGAACATGGGGCATGGCCCTCCTGGCTACTCCTGACACTGTCTAGTTTAGGAAGGTGCTTCTCTTTGTGATGGTGCTGCTGTGGGTCCATGCAGTTATTATCTCATGGCAAGGTTTTGAGCAATGGTTTCATGATGGCTAAGGCATCTGCTGATTAATGGGTCAGAGGACTCCTCAGAACAGAACTTGCTTCTAAATATAAAGCATAATTATATGAAGTGTTGATCACAGTAGCTCAGTATATACTACAACTTTGCTCAAGCTGAGTTCTGATCCCATGTGTGTGTTGAAGTTCTGGTTTCTGATCCCATGTGCAGTACGGGAGCATTCTAATGTGCACACATGGATATGTGTGTGTGGGACACAAGAAATTGCCATTTAGGTGACACACACACTCATAGACTTTGCCTACTGTCTTGTCCTGTTACAGCCACTGAGCTTACACCACAGTGCTCAGAAAGCTGGTTCCCTTGGCTACATATCAAATTCATAACAAAATCATAAGGATGTTCAGAATTTCCTTAAAATTTTATGATGTCCATAAGTATATTTATGTCCAGTGTAATGTTTAAAAAATAACTTTCTGATAGAATTTAAAGCTGCCAGGGAAGGAGGTGTTGAAGGAATAACTTCAGCTTTGTCATTAACAAGACAGATGAGCTGGAACATATTCTGAGAATTCCAGGCTCCATTTCTCCTGCCTTTACTGTCTGTGGTCTGTCTGTCCATCATCAACGCCTGGATCTGTGGCTTGTCTGTGAAGCTTATTGGGGGAGGAAGTTGCACACAGTCATTCTCTATGTAGTTCCCATTCTTCTGGAGAAAGGAGATTACACACACACACACACACACACACACACACACACCCTCTTCACACATACTTGAGTTAGGCCGGACACATTCTGAAAGGTTTTTCACTTGTTCCCTGAGATTTGAGCTGACATGGCTGATTCACAAATGAACCCAACAGTTGTAGCAGCTGCTGATGAGTCTCACTAACGTACACAAAGAGAAGAGCCCTCTCCGACAGTGTGTCCCTGGCTACAGATGTTGTATCTCCTGGAGTTCTTTCCCTTTATGGACAAGTCTCAATCTACAGCTAAGTGTCCCAGAGAGGAAGCATCCTCCAGTCTCATCAGAAGCACACACACATATCCTGCAGTCTCTCTGCTGTCAGTACAGCTGCAGCCGCACAGGGAGGTGTCTGCTGGAGCAGCTGGAATGGCTGTCATCTACATCTAAGAATGCATCTTGGTCCTTCTCTACTGTGATGTATAATTTGTTACCATAATTTATAAATTTGAAGAGATGGCCCTTCTCCTGGTGTGTGCACGCACCCCTATGTCCCTTCCTGTGCAACCTAAATGCCTCAGGAAACATTGGCAATTTGATAAAGTGGAATTAAAGTGACAAGAGATGACAGAGGTGCCACAATAATAAGTAAACCTGCCTCAGAAGCAACGGCCCCTTGGCCCATGTGGATTGTACAGCAGCTGACTGCTCTGGGGGGAGACTTGGCAGGCTTTTCTCTAAAGCTAGACTCCTGTTAGTTGAGAAGACTGAACAGTGCCCCCGCCTCTCTCCAGGACCTGGCAGCATCCAGAATAGCTTTGATTTTCTTTTCAGCTTTGTATATTTCATGTACTCTTCCTTTGCTTTTTCTCTTCCCACGTGTTCTTCATTTGTAGAAGTAGTGTAGCCCCTCTGTCTCTACCTTTGCCTGTGTTCCTCACTGCGTATCTCATTGATAGAGTTTTTTTTTTTTTTTAAATATAAACACTTCAGTAATGTTCCTCCCCTGGATACTCTCTTCCATCTGCTTCTCTCTTCCTTGATAGTGTCTTATGTAGACCAGACTGGCCTTATATTCACTGTGTAACTGGGGGTGACCTTGAACTTCTGCTCCTCCTGCCTCTACCCCTGGAGTGCTCCAATTACAGGCTTGTGCCACCATGACTAGATAATATGGTGCAGGGGATCCACCTCAGGACTTCCTGCATGCCAGGCAAGCACCCTACTGAATGAGCCATACCCCAGTCCTTCCTCTTCTAATTCCATGCCTCCCTTTGTTCCATTTTGCTAGATAGTGATGCTCACTTTTAGATGAGTTCTTTTCCTATTGCATCCTGGGCTGATTGGAAGAACCATGACAGTCCCCACCCAGTCAAAGATCCCTGGGAGATGCTGTTATTTTTGAATTTTTATTTTATCTATTGTTATTTTGTAATATATATATATATACATATATATATATATGTATATATATATATATATGTATGTATATACACACATATGTACCATGACACACATGTAGGGTGAGAGGACAACTTTTAGGAGTTGCTTCTCTACTTTCGACATCCGTCCCAGGGACTTAGGGTATCAGGCTTGGTAGCCCCTAGAGGAGACTCAACAGAGTGAGAAGGCATTCCCCCTTTCTCCCATTTTTCTGTGTCTTGGCTATCTGCTTTTTGGGGGCCACCAGAAAGCTCACTGTCACTTGGAAAACCTCACCTGGTTGTATATGGGACATTTTAAGGTGGCTACTCAGATATGATCTTATTTTGTTCCTTTCACTTCCAACCCTGCAAATTAGCAGGGCTCCTGAGAATGTCCTCATACCAGAATGGGGTCCTTCCATCTCCTTTGATCTCTTGGAAGATGTCACTGGAAGATATGACAGGCATGTGGAGTGCAGTACCCTGCTACTTGATATTAGACTATGGATAATGGCTCCCTACAGGTGAATGCCACAGAACTAAAGTGGATTCAGCAAAGGTGATGGGAGGTAACCCATCACACTGCATCCCTGCTTGGCTGTGTACAGCTGCACAGGCATGACATTACAGCACCTGTGTTTCTGTTCGGGGAACTGAGACATTTGAATTCATTTTTATTTGTGGTGTAAAATCCATCTGAATTTCAGACTATGATGAGGACGGTGATTCTGGTGATGAGCACAGAGGCTGGTGCATCAGTCAGAGAGAGTCTGTCAGTGGAAGACAAGAGCCCATTTGTCAAAGGCTGTAAACACAGGCAGGGCTTCATTTCCTCACTTATCACCTGGCCTAGGGCAGCCAAACAGCTTTAGATCTGCCAGGAAATTGTAAGGAAGGCTTTTGAGTAGTTCTGAAAGTTACAGCTCAAGTTTCCTTTGTGTAGGCTTGAAGCTGTGATGGTCTGCTCTGCCTAACATTGCCCACTCAGAATGCATTTTTGGCCAGCACTTGTTTTGGGTGAGAAGCCAGAAATATTCCAAAACAATGGTCTCAGCAGGTATGGAGAGTCCATTCCTGTTTTGTAGTGGAAGTAGATCAGAGCTCCAAGGACAAGTTTTAACCCATGCTGGATGGCCTTTTTGTTGATGTAATGGTCTGTGTGTCATCCATGTCTCTGTAAGTAACTCCTCACTCACACACCATAAACAAGCCTGAGGAGCCCACTGCGTCACCATGTTGGATTTCAGTCAAATTGTTTATTTGGCCTCTCATTGTGCTCTGTCTAGATGATTGTCCACATCTCCCCACAAAAGCTACACAACAGGTGGTATCCCAGGCTGGGTACAAATATAGACATCTGTGTCAAGCTGCATGACACATGAATGGAGGTCTTAAGAACTGGGGCTCAAGATACAGTAAAAAACAGAGCTTGAGGATGAGATGGAAAATAGGCCAGGCTAGGCAAAGGAAACTCAATACGCATGGAGAGTACTCAACCCATTGCAAGGAATACAATCAAATTTACACTGAATCTGGTAAAGCCTTGAAAAGGGATCAAGGGGTTAAACACACTGTCCTGGCCTTGGGATGTCTACGCAGTGTTTGCTTAGACATCTTTGCTTCTCTGTTCATTCTGCTTGGTTCGGGACTTTCATCTGCTCATTCATGATCTTGCCATCTGTGGCCAGGGAGGTGCCATCCTATCTCCGTGCTCCTTGGCTTTTCTCATCACTCACATTTGGTATCTCATGCAGGTTCCCCAAGGTTGTGACTTATCCTCAGCCACTGTTGATGTCACACATAGCTCATTCCCAGTGAACGAAACCTAGCCCTTTGCCTCTGTTTTGGAATAATCATTGACACAGTTTTTCAGGGATCCCAAACTAAATTTGAACTCACGGTGGAGTCAAAGACAGTCCTGAACTCCTGACCTCCCATTCCTGACCCTCCTGTTTCTATATCTTCAATGCTGAAATCACAGGTGTGCACCATCATACCTGGTTTATGTGGTACTGGATTTATAACCCATGCATGTTAGGCATATCTACATGTGTATCT